CGAGGCTCCGCTAAGGAGAGGACGTGGGGCAGTCTCTGGTCGCTCAGAGCCCACCGGGAGGGGGAGGGGAGATTTCCAGGGAGGCGAGGCTCCCCGGGGGAGCTGGACAGGGACCCTACTCCTTAGGGCTGGGGCTGGCCAGGTGGAGAGAACCCCACGGGGGCTGGGAGAGGAGCGCTCACCCTCCTCATGTTACAGAAAATGATGAGGAGCAGGACCCAGAAGAAGACGGCGATGACCCCGGTGCCGACAAGGATCACGATCTCCATGCTGCCCCGGTCCTCGGAGCCTGCGAGGCAGAAACAGCCGTGTGCGTGCGCTCGGAGGGTGCGCCCCGAGAGCGCCCCTTCTGCTGGCCGCGAGAAGCCGCCAGGTGCGGGGCGGGGACGGGAGCGGGGGGAGGGGGGTGAGGCGAGGCGGACCTTCCACGGCCACGCTGGCGGAGGAGTTGACGCAGCCCTTGGCGTTGCACACGCTGCACAGGTAGCGGCCGGCGTCCTCCTCGCGCACGCGCTGGATGCTCAGCTTCTGGTTCGAGTCGGCCAGATCGATCCCTGCAGGGAGGCGGGGGCAGGTTCAGGTCTGGATGGGCCTGGGGCCTGGGCCTCCCGGGCCTCCGCACCCGCTCGCTCTGCGCCCGGGCCCTTCCCTACCGGACTTTTCCTCCAGCGGCCGCTCGTCCTTGTACCACATGATGCTGGGCACGTGCGTCCCGGCCACGGGGCACCGCATCTCCAGGGAGTCGCTCACGTTCACCAGGAGGTCGGTCAAGTTCTGCGTAAGCCGGGGGGCTTCCAGGGCTGCGGGCAGGAGTCAGGAAGGAGCAGAGTGGAGGGCAAGAGCCCAGGGCACGGGGAAGGGGCTCTCCAGAGAGGAGAGGGTGGCGGGAAGCTGGAGGAGGGGCAGGTGGGGAGGGGGCACGCCCGCAGACCCAGGCCCTGTGGCTCACCTTGCACTGACAGGTACTTCTTGTGGCAGTGCTTGTCCTGGCTGTGCCGGTCCTGCACCTCGCACACGTAGTCGCCCTCGTGCTCGGGTGTCACGTGGGGGATGGTCAGGCTGAGCGTGGCGTGGCGAGCCCCCGGCGCTGCCTCTTCCAAGGTGGCGGCCAGCGGCGTGGCGAACAGGTGCACGTTCTTGCAGTCGAGCAGCAGCGGGTTCCCGTGGGCATCGTGCAGCGTGGACAGGTTGAGGCGGTACCAGCGCAGATGCTCGTACGTGTAGTTGTCAGCCTGGCAGCTCAGGCGCACGGCCTGGCCCTCCAGGGGCTCCTCCGAGGGCTCGGACTCGATGCTGAAGCCGTCGGGGATGGCTGCAGCGGAAGCAGGAGCCGCTGTGACACTGCACAGACACTGACTCACCTGCCAGTGCTTGCTCTTCCTGGCCCACTGGCCGCTGGACTCACTCAGCTCTCAGCCAACAGGTAGGTCTGGGCCAGGGACACCCCCGGAGTCCTCTTCACCCCTTCACTCCCCCTCACTGACCACTGACCACTGGGGCCGATCCACAGAAGTCAGCCCCACGGGCTCTCCTCCTGCCTCCTTCCAGCTCTCTCCTGGTCGTGCCCCAATCCGGCTGCTGTCCCCCCTCTCCCGTAGCCCCATCATCAGTGATTCCTTGTCACCAGACTCAGTGGGGGCCGGAGTCCCATCCTGCCTCGCTGTTGACCACACCCCACCTCTGTCAGCAGTAGCTTTCTTGCTCTGACTGCCTCTGGCCACTCGTTGTCAGGCTCCTGAGGGCTCCCCCACCAAAGTGTTCTCTCTGGCCCATCTCTCTCCCAGGTCCCCCCACATACACACACACCCCTGGGCCCAGGGACTTCCTTTCACGGGTCCTCAGCTTTCCTGAGGTCACTGACACGTTTGAGAATCCAAGGGAGCTATGGAGCTTCTCCCCAGAGAGAAACACACCCCTGAGCCACCTCTTCAGATCCAGGGCTCGGGAAGGGGTTGGAGGGAGGCAGTTAGGTGGGGCTTCGGGGAGCAGGACAGCCCCCTGGTCAGGGTGCCTCCGGGGCTGAGGGCAGAGGGTGCTGCCCCGTCCAGCGGACCAGCATGGTCCTCCAAATCTCGCCCTGTTGCCCAGGCCAGGGGGTATCTCCCCGGGGTGCTCCACCAGGACCTCAGGGGGCCCCAACCTGGTCCCCTCCTCCTCTCCGGGCTTGTTCTCCTCTCCTGCCCACCTGGTCCCTGACCACCAGGCCCACCCAAGTCACTCACTGGTCACATAGAAGTAGATGAGCCGCTCGTCCTGGCCCACCTTGTTGAAGACCATGCATTTGTACATGGCAGACACGTTGGCATCCTGGATCACCAGCTTGCTCACCGTCTGGGCAAAGCACAGGCAACGGATCTGTTTCCTGCCTGAGTTCCCCACCCGACCTTCCCTTACGCTGTACCCACCAGAGTAATGGGGGACACTGAGGCTCTGAGCTGAGGTGACAGAGTGCAGAGACAAGACCGGGGATGGGAGGCACGGAAGTGAAAGTAAGGCCTTCAGGCAGCAGAGGGAGGGGGCTCCTCGGGAAAGTCAGGGGACCGGGCTGAGGAAGCTGCAGCAGCAGTGGCTGGGGTCAGAGGGTGGCATAGGCAGGGCCAGAAAGGCTTCTGGCGGTGGATGTGCCATTTCAGGAGGGGCCGGGGGCCTAGTGCTGCCAGGCCGGGCCAGGCCAGGGCCAGGATTCAGACCGGGGCCACGTCAAGGGTCAGGCTGTGGCCTAAGATGAGCAGCAGGTCACGGTGTGAGATCCTCGTGACAAGTGCACCGTTGCCCAGGGCTGCCCCCCTCTCCCAGGGCCCTGGGGTAGTGGCAAGGGGAGGGGCTGGTCCTAGACACCCAGAAGGATGCTGGCCTTGGGGAGTAGGAAGCTGGGAGGCAGGGTAGGCCACAAGCCCTGCCTACCATCCAAAGACCCCCCCTCCTTTAAGCTGGGCACTTCCTGGCCAGGCCTGGAACAGGAAGAGGCTCTGGAGGTGTGTAGGAAAACAGGAAGTGACCGTAGGAAGTGGGTGCCTTTGTTCAGTCCCCTCCCCTGCCTGGCCGCTTCTCAGCATTGCCCCCAGGCTGGGCCAGTGGCTCAGCCGCCTTTGGTGGGACCAGGCCAGCCCCCCAGCCTGGAGCCAGTGGGCAGCTGGACCCATGGCCTGGCCGGGCAGCCTGAATCTTATCTTACTCATTCGGGCAGTGTCCGGAGGTCCTGCCCCCACCCCCCACCCCCACATGCAGGCAGGGGAGCTGAGGCCCAGACACTGCAGAGAGGTCACCCCTCAGCTGCTGCCTCCAGAGCCCTGCAGGCCTGGTGGGCACCCAGAGGCCAGAGAGGGCCTCCCTCCCTCCTCCTCTCGGCCAGTGAGTGGCGCGGCTGGCCCCTACCTTATTCCTCCCCTCCACACACTCCGTCCAGGTGTCCAGGCTCTCGATGGGGTTCACGGCGTCCTGCGTGGTCACCTCCCTCCAGTCCCGGCACTGCGGCATGCGGTCCCGCTGTTGCCGCCGGCTGCTGGGGACGAGGGTTGACAAGGGCCCGTCAGAGGTCTGGGCGGGGAGGGCCCCCAAGGGGGTAAGGCTGAGCCTCTGTCATATTCAGGGTCACCTCCTACACTGCGTGGGTGAGGCTGGCCTTTGGCTGGGGTGAGCAAGAGGGCAGAAGCCTTTGTTGCTGGAATACTGTCTCCCGCTCTTTTTTATTTTTATTGATTTCACAGAGGAAGGGAGAGGGAGAGAGAGATAAAAACATCAATGATGAGAATCACTGATTGCCTGTCCTGCACGGCCCCCACTGGGGATCGAGCTCACAACCCAGGCTTGTGCCCTTGACAGGAATCGAACCCAGGACCCTTCAGTCTGCAGGCCGACGATCTATCCACTGAGCACACCAGCCAGGGATGTCTCCCACTCTTTATGTTCAGGGCCCTGTGGGGACTGCCAGACACAGCCTTCGGCGGCTCTGTGCTCGCCCTCCAGCATGCTGTGCCCACCGCTCCCCACTCGCAAGCACCCCTCCTGCAAAGCCCACCCATATCCCCAAGGGCAGCAGTCAGCACTCCTGCTCCAGGAAGCCCCCCCCCCCCCCGTCTTTCAAAACTGCAGCCCCTCCTGGGGCCAAGTGGCATCTGGGTCTCCCACTAAGACCTGGGGCCCCACGGAAGCTCTTGTCTGCCCTGGCAGAACAGAATGGCCCTGGGGCCCTGTCAGTCCGTACAGAACATAATGGTGAAGCGTCAGAGGGGAGCAAATCCGGGAGGTGCCAGCAGTGACCCTCGGCCTGTGTTCTAGAAGAATCTATGAGCCTTGGACATTGTGGGTGGCTCAAGGCCCACAGGCCACCCCTTGAGCCTCCCACACTGACCTGCTGAGCTCACAGCCTATGGGGGCTGCTGCCTGTCTTGGGCTTCAGCACCTGTCCTTCCCAGCTGCGACCTTCCACCTCACAAGGATCTCTTGCTAAATGGTCAATCTGACCTGACACCCCCTGCTCAGCACCCTTCCCTGGCTCTAGGGCAGCGGTTCTCAACCTGTGGGTCGCGACCCCTTTGGCGGTCGAACGACCCTTTCACAGGGGTCGCCTAAGACCATCCTGCATATCAGATATTTACATGACGATTCATAACAGTAGCAGCATTACAGTTATGAAGTAGCAACGAAAATAATTTTATGGTTGGGTCACAACATGAGGAACTGTATTTAAAGGGCCAGAAGGTTGAGAACCACTGTTCTAGTGCCTTCCAGACCTCTGCCCACCTCTGCACCCTCCCCTCCGGTCGCCTGCTTGGCCAAGCTGTCTCTGCCCCGAGAGTTCTCCCCAGCTGTCTGCCCTGTTGGTGCCCAAGTCATTGTAAGCGGGCATGGCCAGCAGAGGGGCAGGCTCGCTGCTGACAGCTGTGGCCTTGGCAAAGTCACATCCCTTCTCAGATCCCGCTCCCCCTCTTAGGGTGACTGTAAGCGCTGCACAGAGGAGCTCAGGAGCGAGGCCATGCTGGCGTGCCACGGGGCTCGGCACACGTCTCCTGAAAGCGGCCCAGCTCTGCCCGCCAGGCAGGAGTGTCCCCCTGGACGCCACAGGCACAGTCCTGGGGTCTCTGATGATACGGCTCTGGGGCTTTGCTCTCCAGGCAGGTGGGTGGGCCTGATGGCTGCAGGGGCATCTGAGCCTTGCTCAGAAGGGATGATGCCAGGGGTTGGCTGCGGGGCATGGTGACAGGGTTTGCGTATAGAGCAGGGCTCTGGGGAGGGGGTGCGGGCAGTGAGTGGGGGTCAGGGCTGAGGGTGAGCACAGGGCTGGAGCCACTCACAGGCTGCGCTGGGCGAAGGTCTTGCAGGGCGTCCACGGCCGCCAGTACCACTGGACGCTGAGAGGTGGGGGCACACCGTAGGCCGTGCAGGTGAGGGCCTGGCGACTGTGGCGGGAGTAGATGCTGGGGGAGGAGGCCTCCTTCTCGTGGATGTTGGGAGGCACTAGGGGCACAGGCAGGCAGCTGGTCAGCCGGCCCCCTGGCCACACCCGCCCGCCCTCCTGTCCTCTCCCATCCCCTCCCCTCCCACCTGCCCCTACCGTTCACCACCAGCTCCAGGCTGATGTTGCGCTTCAGGCCGGCCATGGAGTTCCACAGGGCGAGGGTGTAGACGCCTGCGCTGGCCTCGGTCACCTCCTTGAGCACCAGGGCATGTGGACTGTGGCGCCCCGACACGGCCTTTCTGTCCTTGTACCTGGCCCGGGAAGGGAGATCAGGGCGCTCCGTGGCCCCCACCTCCACCCCCCCTGCCCTCCTTCCCTGCCACACCCCAGCCCCTGCAACTGGAATGCACCGTTGGGAGCAGGACCCCTGCAGACCAGGAGGCTGCTGGGTGCAGGGGAGGGCAGCGGACCCTGCACGGGGAGCAGATGGCCTAAAGGCCGTGGGGGTGGCCGCCAGGCAGGAGCACGCCCCACAGGCTCAGGAGCACTGAGGCCTGGACAGGGCTTCCCACAGGCGGGGAGTTACTGCTCAGCGCCTCCTCTCCGGCCTGTCTGTGGCCAGGGCCAGCCTCCGGCCGCCAGGCTCCAAGGCCCCGCGGGAGTGTCCTGCCACCTTCCCAGCAGGCCTGCCCCTTCCCCACGGGTTTCAGTGAAGGAGGTGCAGTCCCGGGTGCAGCCTGGACACTGGCCCTGTTTGGGGCCCTGCCTCCCTCTGGAGCTTGAATTCACCATTCCCCTCCCTCCTCTACGTAACCACCAACCAGTTGTCTGACAAGCCTGGGGAACATCAGTCCCTCGACCCTGGTCCTGCTGCCTGCTCTCCTACACTCCGCCTTCTCACACCCTGCCCCAGACTGGATGGTCCTTAGCCCTGCGTCCTTGGACACAAAAACGGAGTCGGAACTGAAAGTGCCAGGATAATAT